GGGCCACAACGACCCAGGTGAAGTGACAGCCACTCCCAGGTCTCATTGGCCTTCTGTCAAGCACATACAATGATCCACCAATAACATCCAATCAAGCTGTCATTTCTATCAATTTCATTCCATTCAAATCCGACACAAAATGCAAAATTTCCAAAGAGACAAAAACTGACTCAAGGGTGTGAAAACCCCAAAAGTCTTCCCCTTTCCCCTTCTCCCTTCCTCACTTTGACTCAAAAGAAAAGTGATGGTAGAAGAGATCCGAAAGACCTATAAGAAAGGCACTGCCCATGGGTATAGAACACACAGTAACCATGAGATCTTTAACTTCCGGTAAAGTATTCTTCATGGCTTATTGCCTTACCTTGTTGTATGTTTCATCACCACATTGGGTTGCTTCTACTACTTCTACTACTGATACTGAAGCAAAGGCTCTTCTCAAATGGAAAGCCAGCTTATTTTAAAATAAAGCCCTCAATATTCTCAACTGGTACCCTCTCGCTCATGTTGCCAACAATTCTTCCACCAATCCAAAAGCAAATACAATCCCCCGCACTTGGACCGGAGTTTCATGCAACACAGCTGGAAGTGTCAACAAGATAAACCTTTCCACTTGTGGTATTCAAGGTACACTACATGAATTTTCATTCTTTTCCTTCCCTAATCTTGAATATCTTGACCTCCGGATGAATGAACTCTTTGATGTCATCCCACCTCAAATCAGTTACCTCTCCAAACTCGACTATCTTGATCTCTCTCTCAATCAATTGTCCGGGAGAATCCCACCAGAAATCGGACTCCTGAGAAATCTTACCCTTCTCGATCTCCATGAAAATACATTTTTTTGGGATATTCCCAAGGAAATAGGCAACATGAAATCTATTGAGGAGCTATATTTGTATAAGAATAAACTCAACGGTTCAATTCCAAGATCATTATGCAATCTAACAAGCCTTGCCTATCTTTACCTCTATAACAATCAACTTTCTGGTTCTATTCCCAATGAGATAGGCAATTTAAAGTCTCTAGTAGATCTACAATTGTCCTCCAACACTTTAAGTGGTCACATCCCTCCAAATATTGGTAACTTACAAAAATTAAATACTTTGTACTTGCATACCAATGAACTCTCTGGCTATATTCCCAAAGAGATAGGGAACTTGAAATCTCTTATGGATCTTCATTTGGGTGATAATCAATTAAGAGGCTCAATTCCAAGATTTTTAGCAAATATCTCAACCCTTACCAATCTTTTCCTCTTTGGTAATCAACTTTCTGGCATTATTCCCAATGAGATAGGTAATTTGAAGTCTCTTGTAGATCTACAGTTGTCTTCCAACACCTTAAGTGGTCCCATCCCTCTAAGTATTGGTAACTTAAAAAAATTAAACACTTTGTACTTTCATAACAATACACTTTCTGGTTTGATTCCAAAAGAGATAGGGAACATTAAATCTCTTGTGAACTTAGGATTGAGCGGCAATCAACTGCACGATTCAATTCCTACTTCATTTGGTAACTTGAGCAACTTGGAAATCTTACATCTACGGGATAACCGACTTTCCGGCTCCATTCCCCAAGAGTTAGAGAATCTCAAGAATTTGATTCAATTGCACTTGGATACAAACCAATTGTCTGGTTATTTGCCCCCAAATATTTGCCAAGGTGGAAAGCTCACAAACTTTTCAGTATTCAGAAACTATTTGACTGGACCTATCCCTAAAAGTTTGAAAAATTGCACGGGCTTAATAAGAGTCCATCTTGAACAGAACCAATTTACAGGCAATATATCTGAAGACTTTGGTGTTTATCCGAATCTTGATTTTATGAATATAAGCAACAACAACTTGTATGGAGAAATCTCACACAACTGGGGACAATGCCCAAAGTTGACAACCCTACTAATGGCAGGAAACAACCTTACTGGTAGCATCCCACTTGAGATAGGAAACGCAACCCAAATTCATGTGCTCGACCTTTCTTCAAATCATTTAGTTGGGTTGATCCCAAAAGAATTCGGGAAGTTATCTTCATTGGTGAGGCTAATATTGAATGGAAATCAACTTTCGGGTTCTATACCGTCTGAATTTGGATCATTAAGTGATCTTGAATATCTTGACTTGTCAACCAACAAATTCAATGAGTCAATTCCGAGCGTTATAGGTGACTTGGTTAAATTGCACTACTTGAATTTGAGCAACAACAAGTTGGCTCAAACAATTCCATTTAAGTTAGGGAAGTTAGTTTAATTGAATGACCTGGATTTAAGTCATAATTCACTTAAAGGTAGGATACCATCAGAAATGGGTAGTATGCAAAGTTTGGTGAAACTTGATCTTTCCCACAACAATCTTTCGGGTTCCATACCATCAAGTTTTGAAGAGATGCTCGGCTTGTTGTACGTTGACATATCTTTCAATCACTTGGAAGGTCCCCTTCCCAACATCAGTGCATTTCGAGAAGCTCTGCCAGAAGGATTAAAAGGGAACAAAGGATTGTGTGGCATAGTTAGAGGTTTGCCACCCTGCAATGCACATGGCTCAAAAAAAGACCAGAAGTTCCTATTCTCACTTCTAGCAGTAATTATTTTTTCATCTGCTTCCTTTACTATTGTCTTTGTAATAGTGCAAAGGAAGAAGAAGCATCAGGATAAAGCACAAAAACACATGCATGAACAAATATCTTTTTCAATTTTAAATTTTGATGGAAAGTCAATGTATGAGGAAATCATAAGGGCAACAGAAGATTTCAATCCCACATATTGCATTGGGAAGGGAAGACATGGAAGCGTCTACATAGCAAGTTTGCCATCTGCCAATGTAGTGGCTGTGAAGAAACTCCATTTGTTGCAAAATGACGAGAATAATCTTCAAAAGGAGTTCTTAAATGAGGTAAGGGCACTCACAGAGATACGACATCGGAACATTGTGAAGCTCTATGGTTTTTGTGCACATAAACGACATTCGTTTTTGGTGTATGAGTATCTTGAAAGAGGTAGCTTGGCCGCAATCTTGAGCAAAGAGGAAGAGGCTAAAGAGTTAGGGTGGAGCAAAAGGGTGAATACTGTAAAAGGTGTAGCTCATGCCTTGTCTTACATGCACCACGATTGTTTGCCACCGATTGTACATCGTGACATCTCAAGCAAGAACATTTTGTTGGATTCTGAATATGAGGCTTGTGTTTCAGACTTTGGCACTGCTAAGTTTTTAAATCCAGACTCAACTAATTGGACTGCCGCTGCAGGCACATTTGGCTACATTGCACCAGGTAATATTATCATATACAATTTCTCTGTTCTTTGTACCTGTGCATAATTGATACATGATACAATTTCTTCTATGTGCCTTTTCTGAGCAGAGCTTGCATATACAATGAAAGTGAATGAGAAGTGCGATGTTTATAGTTTTGGAGTTGTCACACTGGAAATAATTATGGGAAGCCATCCAGGAGATGTTTTCTCATCTTTATCATCCGGGGCGTCATCGTCGTCCTCATCTGCATCACTTGCCCCTGAAATGCCAATTTCGGATGTTCTGGACCGACGCATCTCCCAACCCACAAAACAAGAAGCAGGGGAGGTGGTGTCTCTTGTGAAGATAGCATTTGCATCTTTGAATCCCAATCCGCAGTCTCGTCCAACAATGAAAAAAATTTCTCAGCTCCTCTCATCAACTCAAAGGCTACATTTGTCAAAGCCATTACATATGACAACATGTGGTGAATTGCTTGCTGTTGATGGATTCACTACCTGATCAGGACATGTGCTGCTTTTCTGTATTTGACTTCATTTGTGTCTGCTTTGTTCTTATTATTCTTAGATGTTTGGCTTATTGTATTTTATTTCATGCCCACTTTTGTCTTTAATTTGGCTCACGCTTTAATAAGGGTTATTGGTATATAGATTTTTTTTTTTTTTGCTTATGTATGTATGTCTCATGTTACCACCTAAAGTATTATGAATTTGTTGCAATATTGCAATGTCAAACGAATGTCAAACTTTTCGTTTATGGTTAATTACATTTTTGGTGACTGAATTTTCGCTCAAAATCAAATTTGGTCACCGGATTCTATTTTCCCAATTTCATCACCGCATTTGCAATAGTTAACAAATTCCATCAGTTTGTTTAATTAAAAAAATATTAATATTAAGTTAAAAACAATTAACCTCAATATAAAATTTAATAATTTAAAAAAAATCATATCCCATGTTCCCCCTGTTCCATCGTCAGCCCCACCATCCCTTCTCCCTGCTCCCACCACCACTTAGGCCTCTCAAACAGGAGTGGATCCGATATCCCCAAATTGTTTGTCCATTCCCTGTACTTATTCTAAATTTTCAACATATGTCCTCCCACACAGAACCTAACACTTTTAACTCATATTAAAAATAATAAGAATAAGCTTGCAATTTTAGGGGACTAAACTTAGTCTGTTTTGAATATGCAGGTTGATTTCGAATAATTTGAGATTGAGGAGTATTGCCGATTGAGCCAGAATGCCCACGTGATTAGGTTTTCCCTCAAACCACGTACAATACATTTTCCAAAAAGGGTTTAGGGAGACTTTAACGAAGTTTTTCTTGATTTTGGACTATCAAGAGTTGAATATTATTTAGTAGGGAAATTAAAGTCACTGAGTCATGAAGTCTTTCTCTTTCTTTTGGTTTTGGTCAAACACAGGGTCACAAAGACTAGGGGCTTGGTTTGACCAAAAGACTGAACACACGAAGGAACCAAACCGCAAAACAATAGAGACAAGAAATATAATTGAACAAAGAGTAGGTGAAAGTTGATTCACATTATAAACGTCAACCGAAAAGGTAGAAGACCAATTTAACTAGACGGGTTCAACCATAAAGTGTCCAGCACAAAAAGTTTCTTATGTAACCTCCATAAACCCTAAGGTGGAAGATCAATTTATCACCAATACAATAATTAACCATTACTTATTTTAATGAGAGTCTGAAAGCATGTGAAGCTAGCAGTAAAGCCATCACAGCCAATCTACTGAGTGAAGGAGTTCCCCAGATCGATCACAAACCGATACCGGACATCAGATTTGGCAATGCGTTCCATCGCAGTGTTAATGTAATCCATTCGAATCAGCTCGATGTCTGAGGTAATATTGTGCTTGGCACAAAAGTCAAGCATCTCCTGGGTCTCTTTCACCCCTCCTATGTCACTTCCACCTACAAGCTTCCGCCCTGAAAGCCATGACAAGATTAGAGGATATTACAGAAACTGAACACTAGATTATGTTTCTAGAACACATGTTACAGAATTCGAGCATTCTACTAGGATGGGGGGAGACAAGCACCAAACAAACATAAGCACCACCAAAAGAAAGCATAAACAATTTGTTAATATCTGTTTGGAAATCTGGGATTGATCAGGCAATTTAACACTTCGTGTTTCTCCTGAATAGAATATCCCCATCATAACGTCTTAGGCACAATTCCCACGAAAAGCTATAAGCCTGGAAATAAGTTAAAAGTTGCACATTGATGCATCCTCCTCCTAAATAGAAAAATTCAGTCTTTGTTGTTATAAAACAAAACAATGAAGTGTTGGCGGTCAGATAGGCACACCCAAAACTAAGGGAAAGATTGGCAACTCCAGGGGCTTGTCAGGCAAACCCACCGTGACCAGCTTCCCATTCAGCTTCAGTAGACCAATTAATGGCGCGAGCGCATGAACTGCAGACACCTTGTCAATGATGTAATCCATGGTACCCATTGCTGCCTGCATAGTTGTTTGGGCCTAAATCCCACACGCAAGCCCAATTAAAATTGACCTATAATAGAAAGGGCGGTTATCACTAATTGACCTATAATAGAAAGGGCGGTTATCTAGTGAGAACAGGTACCTATATGAGAACATTACATGAGAACACCTATATGAGAATATTACATGAGAACACCGTTGGATCTAATCTAACGGTTGCATGAAAACAATTGTAAGTGTAAGTGTTGTATTAGAATGAGGCATTCTTCCCTCTCCTTCCTCCAAAATGTCCAGTCGAAAATAGACACTACTACATTTTTCACTTTGCGCGACGAAGAGAATTTCGTCGCGCAAATTTTAGCGCGACAGAAATTTCGTCGCGCAAAGATCGTGGAGAAAGACTTTGCGCGACGAAAAAATATTGGTCGCTCAAAGTGACTTTGTGCGACGAAACATATTGGTCGCGCAAAGTCGCTTTGCGCGACGAAAATATTGGTCGCGCAAAGCGACTTTGTGCGATGAAAAAATATAAAATATTGGTCGTGCAAAACTTTGCGCGACGAAAAAATTTTAAAAAAAAATTCCCGCGTCCCATTTTTTGTACCCGCCCAAATTTTTAGAGTTTTGCGCGACAAAATATTTTGATTTTTGACTTTTGGTTTTATTATTTCTTTAATATTAATTTAATTATATTAATTATTTCTAATTTTTAATTTTTAAATTTAATTTAATTGTATGATTTTTTCGTTACTTTAATTTAAATTGACATATTCAAAATAAAATTACATATGAAAAATAGTGATCAAATTATCCAATAAATATATATATATATATAATATTCAAAATGTACACATAAATTAACAAAGTACAATACAAAAAAAGGGATTATCTCCCCTAAAATTGTTATACCACAAATCCAACCCAAACTCCAATCCCTCCCCTTTACTCAACCCCAAACCCCACACAAACTCAAAACTAACTCCAAAAACACATATTAATGAAAAAAAAATTAAAATTTGGAGACAATCTACCTTTTAGCAAAATTGAGAGTGAGTGAGAATAAGAGAGAGAAGTGAGTGTAAGAGAATTAGAGAAGATAGTGATAGAGAGATGAGAGAGTGAGTGAGAGTGAGAGATAGTGAAAAGAGAGATGAGAGAGTGAGTGAGAGTGAGAGATAGTGAAGAGAGAGATGATGAGAGATTAAGTGAGAGGAGTGAGTGTGAGAGAAATGGTGGGATTTGGGGAGAGAGAAAGAGAGAGGAGAGGAAAGAGTAGAGAAAGACATTGAGAAAATGGTGGAGGAGTTTTTTTCATTTGAAAAACCGTATCACTTTGCGCGACGAACGACATTGTTGGTTGTGCAAAGTTTTGCGCGACGAAAAATATTGGAGTATTGGTCGGGCAAAGTTTTGCGCGACGAATATTAGTATATTGGTCGCGCAAAGTCAAAAAATAAAAAAATTCCCGCCTCCCATTTTTGGTACCCGCCCAAATTTTGAAATTTTTGCGCGACGAAAAATACATATTGGTCGCGCAAAGTCTAAAAAAATTCCCGCGTCCCATTTTTGGTACCCGCCCAAATTTTGAAATTTTTGCGCGACGAAAAATACATATTGGTCGCGCAAAGTCTAAAAAAATTCCCGCGTCCCATTTTTGGTACCCGCCCAAATTTTTAGAGTTTTGCACGACGAATTGTTGGTCGCGCAAACTTTTGAGAGACGAAAAATTGGTTCGTAGCACGATATTTATAAAAATAATTGTTATGAATAATAAATTTTTTTTTTTACGATTTAAAATATAAAGAGTGAAGAGAGAGATATTAAGTGAGAGGAGTGAGTGTGATAGAAAGGGTCGGCTTTGGGGAGAGGGAAGAGGAGAGAAAGACATTGAGAAAATGGTGGAGGAGTTATTTTGGCTTTAAAAACCGTATCACTTTGCGCGAATTGTTTGGAGGATGAAAAATATTGGAATATGGGTTGCGCAAAGTTTTGTGCGACGAAAAATATTGGTCGCGCAAAGTCTAAATTTTTAAATAAAAAAAAACAATTCATGCTTCCCATTTTTGGTACCCGCCTAAATTTTTAAAGTTTTGCGCGACGAAAAATATTCGAATATTGGTCGCCCAAACCTTTGCGCGACAAAAAGTATTGGTGGCGCAAAGTCTTAAAAAAAATAAAAAATCCCACGTCCCATTTTTGGTACCCGCCCAAATTTGTTGAGTTTTGCGCGACGAAGTGTTGTCACGCAAACTTTTGAGAGACGAAAAATTGGTTCGTAGTACAATATTTATAAAAATATTTGTTATGAATAATAAAAAATTATTTTATTTTATTTTAGGATTTAAAATATAAATACTGTTAAAGCTACATAATAAATATATATATACAATTCAATTTTTTAAGTGTTATACGTACAAAATAAATAAATTTAAAGCTACTTAATAAATAAATATATATATATATACACACACCATTCAACGATCCAACCGTCAAACTTGTTTGTATATACTTCAAGATCGTATACCCCAAAAATCACAAAAACTAAACATTCAGAGATCTAGTAATGGGATAAAACTTTTCAATGATTATAAATAAAAAATCACGATTTAACGGTTATTTTAACTCCGATTTTGCTGATTTTTTACAGCCACACTCCTTGACCCTATATGAATACAATGACTAAATTTGATCTTCAATTTAAAATATTTACACTAGTGGATACCACAAAATCTTATGTTATATTTAACAAAAGTATAAATAAACTCTTAATTGTTAGTGAATATATTGTTTTGATGGCATACGCATTCTATGAAACTAATTTGAACGATCCAACCGTCAAATTTGTTTGTTTATACTTCGAGATCATATATACCAAAAATCGGAAAAAATAAACATTCAGAGATCAAGTAACGGGACAAAACTTTTCGACGGTTATAAATGAAAAATCATGATTCAATGGTTATTTTAACTCCGATTTTGATGATTTTTTACCGCTACACTCCTTTACCCTATATGAATACAATGACTGAATTTGATCTTCAATTTAAAATATTTACATTAGTGGATACCACAAAATCTTATGTTATATTTAACAAAAGTATAAATAAACTCTTAATTGTTAGTGGATATATTGTTTTGATGGCATACTCATTCTACGAAACTAGTTTGAACGATCCAATTGTCAAACTTGTTTGTTTATACTTCGAGATCATATGCGTCAAAAATCGGAAAAAATAAACATTCAGGGATCAAGTAATGGGACAAAACTTTTGGACGGTTATAAATGGAATAATATATTTTTCTAACAAAGATTTTAAAAAATATTTTATTTATTTTATTTATTTTTATAAGGACTTTGCGCGACGAAGTTAATTGTTTCGTCGCGCAAAGTAGCTTTGCGTGACGAATTGTTTTCGTCTCGCAAAGTCGCTTTGAGCGATGAACTGTTTTTCGTCGCGCAAAGTTACTTAGAGAGACGAATTTTTTTTCGTCGCGCAAAGTTACTTTGAGCGACGAATTATTTTTCGTCGCGCAAAATTTAGTCACCCAAGACTTTGAGTGACGACGTATTGTCGTCGCGCAAAAGTTGGTCGCGCAAAGTCACTTTGAGCGACGAATTATTTTTCGTCGCACAAAAGTTAGTCGCGCAAAGTTTTTAGCAACGAAGTTTTGAGTTTCGTCGCGCAAAGTGTCTTTGCGCGACGAATAAGTTTTCGTCGCGCAAAATTTGGTCGCGCAAAGGTTATTTTGTAGTAGTGAGACGTCCCCTCCAATCTAGCTGTTCGGTTTGTTCAATTAGGTGACCAATTTTTTTTATCAGCTTTGATTGAGCAAGAGCAATAACACTGAAGAGAGAGCGCCCCTGTTATTCCTTATTCGATTCGAGGAAGAACACAGAAGTATAGCCCTCATTTTTCTGGGTTTCTCATTCAGGAGAAACAAAGTGTTCTTCTATTTTATATTATCATCTTTGTGGTTCGATCTTTCTAGTCGGAACATTAGTCAATCCTTGAGCAACGTCGAAACTGGCGTTGAGTTGGAAACTGGTGACCGCGATCGTTGTTATGTTCTCTTGGTTTTGAAATCCTTGAGCACGGTCGAAACAGGGGTTGAGGAAGATGAAAAGTATTTAGGGTTGACGTCCATATCTAAAAAGGCGACATTGTCATATTTGTAGAAATTTTGAAGTTGGAAATGACTCACGAGGTAAGTGATATACTGTATTTTGTCAATTTTAGTATTGGGCATAAGCATGAGTTATGTTAGTTTGTATATAGGTCTTTAATGGTTCACCAGAGAATCATTTTCATATCATATGTTAGTTAATATATATTTTAAAGCTCTTTGAAAGCATGTGCCAATGTTGGTATGATGGTGGTGAATTTAGGGTTAAATTGCAAGAATTGTGAAATGGAGTGTGAAGGACAGGTGACACTAGAAGTAAGTTCGGAGTTGAAACCAAAATTGGGACTTGAATTAGATTGCTGTGACGATGTGTTCAATTTCTATGATATTTATGCCGCAAAAGCCGGATTCAGCATTTAGTGTTCTACAACGAGAACGTACACATTGACAGGAGAGATAACAAGGAAGGAATATGTATGTTGTAAACATGGGTATTCGTTGACAAGCACTGTTAGTTGTAAGAGAAGACGGCAAGGTTGTACCCGAACTGGTTGCAAGGCTAAACTTGCGATTTTGAAGATAAAAGACAAGAATAAGTACATTGTTGTAGGATTCAATGAGGTACACAACCATGACATGACCACAGTTGATAAAGTCCATCTATTGAGATCTCACCGTAACTTAGAAGAGTCTACAAAGGTCTATGGTGCACATATGAGCAAAGTTAATATCCTTACACATAAACAGGTAAGCCTTCTTGAGGTGCAAGTAAGGGGACTGGAAAAAATGGGGTTTGTTAAGAGAGATGTCTATAATTATGTAAGGGACGTGCGTGGAGAAGTGATTGGGCATGATGCAAAGCTGCTTAAGGAGCATTTTTAGGCTGAGCAAGAAAAGAATGCCTTTTATTTCAAGATGGAGGTAGATTCGGAAGGAAGGATGGGTAATGTTTTCTGGTCAGATGCAAGGTCAAGACGAGCTTATGGATTTTTTGGAGATGTGGTGGTATTTGATACGACGTTCAACACCTGCTATGTAATGGTCTTTGCACATTTGTTAGGAGTTAATACCCATTGGTAGACAGTGTTGTTTGGTTGTGCATTCCTAACTAGTGAAACCACAAATTCAATTGTACGGTTGTTATAGGAATTCAAGAAAGCCATGCCAGGTGAGCCACCCAAAATGATCATCACTGATCAAAATGCAGCAATGTCAAAGGCAATTGTTGTAACTCTCCCAACAACATTCCATAAATATTGCATATGGCATATCTTGAATAAGTTTACAGAGAAACCCGGCATTGGAGAATGTTTTTCGAAAATGTGCAAATGCATATGGGGTATGGACACAAATGAAGAATTTGATGCGAAATGGGAGATCACAAACAATGGCCAGAAAGACCATCCGTGGCTGAGCTCAATTCATGCTATGCGGGAGAATTGGGTTCCATCATATGTAAAACATGTGTTTTTGGCTGGGATGTCAAGTAGTCAACGGGCCGAAAGCTGTCATTCATTTTTCAAACAATATATTAACTGGAAAAACACATTGATGGAATTCATTGTATGTTTTGAAAGAGCTCTTGGTTTACAGAGACACAAGGAGTTAATGGCTGATCATGTTGATAACAATGAAAAACCTACACTGCCATTTCGAACACCAATTCAACATCAAATGACACGCATTTACACTCGGGCAATTCTTGAAATGTTTGAGAGGGAAGACTTTAGAAGTCTTTTATGCTTGTTCGAACTTATAGAGCAAGATGAGACGCGCTGCAAATACAAAGTAAGTGAGCGGGTAAATCCGGGGGTGACACGGATGAAGGAGCTTGTGCATGATAAAGATGCCGATAAAGCTTATTGCAGCGGCAAAGGATTTAAATTTTGGGGTATTTCGTGCCGACACATCCTAGCATTCTTAAGAATGAAGCAAGTTGAGCACTTGCCAAACAATACATATTGAAATGATGGCTTCAAAGTGCAAAAAGCTGTGTAATATATGATAAGAATCACAAAGAAGTTAACGATTGCATTGATGGTTTGCTTTTGGTTAAGAGATTGAAAGTTTGCAAAGTTGCAAGTGATTTGATTGATTCGTCTTTGTTGTGTGACGAAGGTTTTGAGTTGCTGGAAAAGTTGTAAGTGAATATGTGTTATATTGTGCTTTGAGTTTTATTTTGTTGTTGTTTAATTTTATTTTTTTTCCGATGTGGCGGCTTTTCATCTTCTGACACAGAACTTAGTGGTCTAGTTGCTGAGAATTTGCAGCCCACTCAGAGCACGCAGGACAGTGAACCTACTATGACAGAGTCATTTATGAAAGAGTTTGATTTCATTTATGGTCCCAGAGTTTGATCATTTATTGATACTTATTTACATCATTTTTGAAAGTATCTGAAAGTGTTAATGAATCTTAGGTAAATGCCTCATGTCCATTGATACTGAACTATGGTTTATTAAACACATAACTATCTGGAAGCGTCAGTATCGCATGACTTACATTCGGAGATACAAAAAAACAAACTACATTAGAGTCAACAATAACTTACTTGAAGAGCCACTTAGCTCTCAGCGTCAGAGTCATCATTTGACTCAAAGCGGCCACGTTCCTCCCAATCTAGAATGAGTTTGTCATTGTAGCAATCCTGGCACCACTCTAAGTTTAAGGGTTTACACTTGCAAAGAATGGGAGATTGGGGCTTTGGGGGAGAAGGGGTTGGGGACTGATAGTATTGAACATTGTCTGGACCTACCGCGAACATTGTCAAGGACGGTCGTGAACGGCACCATGCTTGCAATAATTAGGCGTAACTCAAACTTTCGGATCCATCTTTGGTTGAAAGTGGATGTCCCGGATGTCCTCTTGGGGTTTTCAGATTCTGAAGCCATTGTTTGAAGGAGAATGAGTTTGGGGGAATCATGCAAGGGGTTTTACACACAAATTGCAACGGTTGCAATGAATATGAAAATATCTAAGGGAATCTTGAAACCATGACTATGTGTCAGTAAGAGAATCTTGAAACCATCACTATGTCTCAGCAAAGTCTCATAAACTAAATATATGTGTCAGAGAATCTTGAAACAAATTGTCTCCCCACCGACAATGAATTAAACAAAAAATGTGAGCACTATTACCAAATGAACGTTGCTAATCTAGAAGTTAGTGATCGAATTGTGATTGAACTTTAGCTTTGATAGCAGTGTAAAAAGAAATAAGCTACACGTAACCAAGATCGGGCATTAAAATTTAAACACTAACCTAGATTGGGCATTAACATTTAAACACTAACCCAGATTGGGCATTAAAGAAAACAAACAACTACTGAGGGATTGCCTACGAATTGATATGACTATCACTAGTCATTATTGTTGCCTTTTGCTGGTTGGTGGCCTTGCTCTGTTGGGTGTACACCGCTGGCGATGATTTCCTGTGTAGTAGACGGGGTTATGGGAGTCCCAGTCAATATCTTTATGGACATCTACAACGAACCGTCGGAATTTCTCAAAACCTTCGTTGAAAGCCACAGACATTGTCTAGCCATGGTTGTCGCCTCCTTTGTGGATGCTTAAAGATTCGTATGTAGCATCCTCCTCTGTCAGCGGTGGTAGAGGGGACCTTGGTTAATCGGGGGCATATTCCCATGACCCATCGGAGTCCTCTTGATTTGCATTGGATCTTAAATTGGCGGACATGTTGAAAAAATCTTCAGATTGAGGGATTCGGCTGAAGGTTTGTATACAAAAAAGACAACTCGGAAGCAGAAAAGAGAGAAAAGACAGAAGATTTGGATGTAAGGCATGAGTAACCCATAGCCATAAAACAACGTTTATATATTATGTTCGAAAGTTTTCCATTTTGTCTTTTCTCTTTTTGTCCCATCAGTTTTTTATTTTTTATTTTTTATAAGTAATTAGAGTATTTGATTTAGTTAGGTTCAATTCGGATTAAAGCCTCGTATTAATCACAGGAGCCTCTTATGATTAGTTCAAATGTTAGCACACACTTGAATTTTGATTTATCAAATTTCAATGAGTTCATAGCAATTTGCGAAATATTTTCCCGATTTTTGTATATTTAGTTATGAATTTTCTAAGAAAATGGCAATATAATAATAATTTAGGTTGCAAAGGAAGGATGTGGCAATGGTCATTGACGTACACGTGTGCACCTACTGAAGGGGGATGCGGTCAGCTCTCGCCATGTGTCTTATTTCTTTATGTTTGAAATTTTTGAATTCAAAATTATTTCAAAAATGGTAATAAATAGGAGCAAAATCGGAAAAATGCCTGAAAATTGCTTCCAACTCCTTGTGCCATTACAAAACTGGGGGAAGCTATAAATTAGCCAAAGTGATTTTGAAAACTCACTTTCCTACTAAATTTCATCTTATTTGACAATACAGAGTGCACACTTCATCTTCGGAATATGGTGATAACTTGCTTTCCTTTCAACCGTAACATTATATTTTGCAAAAATTAGAAGTATACTTCCTTAGTGCTAATTATCTAATTTATAAGAACACAAGTATTAGTTTCATTTGCTTCATATATAATTTTTCGGGGGATGGAAATGGCTTACCGACCCCCGATTCAACCAATCAGAAAAATATTTCTAATTTTCTGCTTTGAATTGACACACACAATATGATTCTTGTTATTTCATTGCTAAAATTATATATTTGAAACCAATAAGCAAACCTCTGAAATGCCAAGTTACGAACATAATTACCTACCATGTAAGAGATCAAATAAATGCTCAAACCCCAAAACTCACCCAATTACTTAAAAGAGGGGGAAAGAAAAACAAACTTCCAAATAAATTTCTTCAGCACTGTATTTAGTAATATATTTTTCTGCATAGCTACATTATTTTATTCAAATGAACCAAAATGGAAACATACAAGAGCATTTACCTCATATATAAATATGCTATTAAAGTGATTGTATCGACTAAGTTTTATATTTTATATTAGTAGATTATATTTTATACAAATCTTTAGCCACACTACTTATTTTATTTAGTTAACTTCCAACATTTATAAACATTCTTATATTGTCTTCTAAGTATGTATTATATATATTCATTATCTTGTCTTAGTACTTTTATTTTTATTTTTAACAAAGTAGTTATATAATTGGTTTTTTTCTTCCCTAACGGGGCGGGGGATGGAAATGGCATACCCACCCCCGATTCAACCCATTGTCATCCGTAAACGAATGAGATAAAGCCAACTCTCCATTCATTGATTACTATGCGACATAAATACCTCAATTATCAACAAATCCACCTATGTTATTTCTATTCCACGCCTTTTGGGCATTTTTATTACTCAAAGAAATATGTTCATAGAAAATAATATAAACAAACTTCATAAAATCACAATAATTTATCTAGAGAAAAGTACGCTTAATAAATCAAAAACAGTTTCCCCATTTGTTTATAGTTTTCCTTCACATCTTACAGTTTGGATACGTATAAGATACCTATGAAGTGTCCAAAGCAGAGTTTTTACACCTTCAGGAGCCCACACAAAGTGCCAAATAACGTACTCAAAATGAACCACACATTTGTTCCAAACAAAATACTGAAAAAGCCCAAAATTCAAACAAAATACTAAAAAAGCCCAAAATTAACTTTCTCCAGCGATGGTTTACTCCATGGTGATCTCGTCCCAGTTGTAGCTTGGGACAACACATCTTGCAAACTCGCAAAATAGGTCAAACCCTTTGCGTGCTTCTACTTCCCTCATCTGCACATACTCATTCAAAGTACTGAACCTTCGAAAACCTTTTCCTTTTTCAACCCTAACCCTCACTTTCATGATTTGGATTGATCGAAGGTGGAATTTCGCTTTATTTTTCTCCTTCCCCAATGTTTCTTGATACCATCTTAGACGTATCTTCTGCCTTTTGATTTCCATGATCAACGCATCGTACCGCATCTTGCCAATCCGAGCTGCATCATCGTGGTCCTCAAATGAAAACTTTATGGAGCAGTCCCCATATTCATTTTACCTGCCAAAATGTCAATGTTGACTTGGAGTGGAGAGCTACAACTTTAGTTATCTTCAGAACTGGTGATGTCATATTTGCATTATTTGTATCATAAACAATATTTTCATTTTCTTTAGCGTTCATATTTAGTATCATATTTGCCAAGATGAAACTGTTGACTTGGTCATGTTCAAATGTAAGTTATCTTCACAACTTGTGATGTGATATTTGCATTATCAGTACCATAAACACATTTTTCATTTTCTTTGCCAAGATGAAATTGTCTACTTGGTCATGTTAAATTTAGATTACCTTCATAACTGGTGATGTCACATTTGCATTATTAGTATCATAAACATTGTTTTCATTTTCTTTACTGTTAATGGTGCGTTGATATTTAGTTTCATATTTGCCAGTTAAATTATTCACTTGGTCATGTTCAAAGGCAACTAAGTTTACCTCCATAAGTAGTGATGTGATATTTGCATAATCATTATCATAAAAAGTATATTTAATTTTTTGACTGCTGACGTTGATAAGTAGTATCATAAATGCGAACACCCAAGAGCTGTAAATAGGCGTATGGGTGCGAGAGCACCAATTTACCGCCTCCACCTTCATCGAGGTATGCGAACTTTCCTTTCAGTCACACTGGTTAGGAAACGAAGACAATAATACATGATCTAAACCCAATGTTGTCTTCGTCCATAGTTCAGGTGACAATGGTTGGATCCAATATATAACTTTCTTCCTAATTTTTCCAGAAACACCGTTCATTATTCCTCCACTTACCTTTTGTACTCCCTCTTCTCCAACAACCCAGATGAACATCCTAGACTTGGCATCGTTTAAGGTGCTGCTTTTGGTTGCAAAGCACTTCTCTGAAGATCTGTACAGCATGGCGGAGTTATGCAAGTTATTTGAAGAAATGCTCAATGATCCTGAGGTTTGGCGAACCATGTCTGTAGA